TTCTTGTCGAATTGAAGGCATATTTAATGGGCATAAGGTTTCGTCGTGGGGGCTCAAATTACCGACGGTTGATCCAAAGATCCCTTCCCCGCCTCCCCTGGCACTGAAGTCGCCAAGTACGATTTTGATATCGTGACGGGGCACTGGCCCGTATGTGCGCTCTATGCGCTCATATAAGAGATCCTTGGACGCCTCGTCTTTCTCCTCCAATGGGACATGAGATGTGATGTTGAATAATCTCGTTTTGATGCAGATTGTGGCTAGACGTTCGTCCACCGGGGTGAACGCTAATACTCGGCGACCGAGCCTCTGTCCCACCGCCGCCACAAATCCGAATTCGCGCTTCTTTACGTGGCTGGTAGACGTCGCAAGGTCCTACGCGTTGCCTGCCTTGCCGCGTCCAACGCATTTTTTGTAATGGCGGTGATGTCAACCGCTGTATTCGCGAGAACATCAACCAGCCGGGCAGAGGCATCCTCCCCATTAAGGGTCCGTACATTTTAGGTACATGCCCTTAAATCGCAGTCTTTTAAGCATTTGCCGTGGTCTTCACCAAAAGAGGGGGTCTCATCCGAGGATTGTTGCATTGTTTTTTTTTTGGGGGTTTGGTCGCTACTCAGAGGATAAGTGAATATTAGGAAAGTCGGGAGCTGCGCTTGAACCTTCCGCTAATCACTTCTGGCCACTCCCTGGTGTATGGTAGTCGAAATATTTCCCCACTTATCTACTTATGAAATAAAATATATAGATATATTTTCATACTTATGTACATACATACATAGCTATATATATCGAGCCCAAGCCGCCAAAATAACGCGAGCGACATTTTTCTTTAAATTTTCTTTTTGTTGCAGAAATGCATCTAGATGCTCTAGGAATATTTCTGCATCAAAAAGAAAATTTTGGAAAAAAAATCGCCTACGTTATTTTGGCGGTTAGGGCTCAATATGTACGTGTCATAATAAATTTTGTAAGTAACGGGTTGTTTTTGTAATGTAATTTTCAGTCCGGCATTGTTCGTGGTGGCTTCAAAAGTGTTGATTTACCGTTGCACGAACGTAAACTGCTGGAGGCCTATACTATGATGGAGACATATCTGCGAAAGCACAAATATATGGCCGCTGATCATGTAAGTTCAAGTTCGTCGGAATATTTACATATATATCGTCGTTTAAAGTACAAAACCGCGTAGCGTGCTGCTGCAAAACCTGGTAACTGACATTTGTGCCAAAAAAATATTTGCTCACCGGAAGTTCCTGGCATAAAGTCCTTATCCATTCATACTTAAATATCGATTCTTAGACATGGGAAAAAGAGATAATTAGAGATAAAAGAAAGAACCGTTTGGAGATGAGAAAAANATGTTGTATGTATAGTACTCACGTATTTGTGTATAAATAATTTATAACATCTACTGTCACTTAAATTCTTTATGTTAGCATCTTATACATTTATTACGAAGATCTCTCCAACTAACCGCAATTTCATTTGATTTCGTATCAATTACGGAAATTTATGCAATACATATAAAACGCTCTACCAATGTATGTACTACAACTTGTATGTACATATGTATGTATATTTTCTCCCCACAGTTGACTATTGCTGACATATCCATCGTAACCACATTGAGTACGGTGAATCTAATGTTTCCGATTGCCGCTGGCGCCACAGACAAATGGCCTCTATTGAATCGTTGGTTCGCGCGCATGCGAGCATTGCCGGTATATCATATCAATGAGACGGGTTTGGAAAAGCTACGCGTTGTCATCGAGCGAATTGGCAAATTTAAATTTCCAACAAGCGAAATTGCGACACCACCCGAAGAGGAGCAGGAGTCCAAGGAGGAACCTAAGACAGAAGAAGCGAATGTTGTGAACCAAGAAAATGATGAAGACAATAGGCCAGAAAATACTCCAAATGTGGATTAGTTTAAATTCACTGAGATTTACCGAAATTTTGAAATATATTTTCCTTACGGTTTTCATAAATTACATATGAAGGAACTGCTTAAATTATTTAAGTGAAATGTATTAAAGATTGATTTAAATCGTTTTGGTAAGTAATAGAGCATAAATTCGGATTAAAGAGAACGATTTTCAGAAAGTCGATTTCTTATTCTTTTCCTGAATGAAAGTTAATAATTAGAAAGGGATATGTAGTTTTAAAACTCCCTTTAACCTTTACAGTACAAGCGTCCCATATATTGGACAAGCTTTGCTGTGCTTAAAGCTCTTTTTTGTAAATAAGAGCTTTTGTTCTTAAAAGAACAGTGGTTTTGAGAAAATTATACCATTCTTATTTACCGCGTTTCTTTAATTGTATTTTGTGGGTGCATTTGAGCGTGCTTTTTTCAGAAATCTGATAAGTGTCACAAAAGTCGATAGTGACCATATTAATATATTGGAAAAAATTTACTATTTTTCGGTGGAATGGGGATTCCAAAAATGCTTATTCATAGTTTTAAATAAAATATATTTCGGAAAAAAATAAAAATATTTGAGATAATTTATCTGCCTATGATAACTATGCCTCTCAAGAATTCATAATGAGCTGCACTCAAACTCGATACTCCATTTTGTGTAATCGATAATTTTCGCAGTTTTTGCCAATAATTTTTTGAGGCATCTACATACATTCATAAGGGGCACTGCCTTGCCTGCGGGCAAAGCTCTTTTAAGCTTTCTATACATT